TTTTTTTTTTTTTTTTTTTTTTTAAGGAAGGCACCGAAATGTTCCTATGCGGGATTGTCGCTAGTCGTTATTATAAACAACTACTTAATATGGCGAGTATGGTGAATCGCGCGTGATGCACCGTGGACGCGACGCGCGCGGCTGTTGCGAATCGCGGGACTTACTTCGCACAGCCAACTCGCTTGGACATTTCGATCGATATTGTTTTTTTTCTCTCGAAACTGATGCGATGCAATTTTTACGTTTTTATGTTTTTATGTTTGTAAATCTCATTTTATAAGTTAAAACGCGTAACCATCATTTTTGGTGCATAGCGCGCGATGCAGCTCGAGCTACCTTCAGCTCAAAAGGACGGTCGTTCAGTCTATCGATAACGGCGAATTACAGAAGCTGCCTCCGTCGAAGTTTCCCTTACGTACGCACGCACGCACACACACACACACACCGCGCGCGAGCGCCTTTCATTCCGGGTGCTCGCGATCTCGCGGGCACATTCGCGTCTCTGTTATTTACACTTTTTGTTTGACATCGGCGGAGTAGGAAAGATCCGTCGTCGTCGTCGTCGTAAGCTGACTCGTCGACGCGCGACCAATTGTCTCACGCGTGTTTTTCCGCGCGGCGGAATGCGCGCTGCTCTCTCCTCCCACTCTCTTCTTCCCCTTGTGCTGGAATTCAGTGTCAGGTGGCGCGACGACCTCGCTCGACCTTCCTCCGGATCTCCTCCGTCGCCGTTGTCACGCCGATGCGAGACCACCCCCGAGACCGGCGGCGTAGCCGCAACTGCGGGCGCCTTCGTCCCGAAGTCACGCACACACGCACACACGCAAACCTATCCTGTCACACTCGTTCCTTCTCTGATTACTCGAATATGTACATTAAAGACCGCCCTCTTCGAGGCTGCTCGTAGAGTCAGCGCATCACACACGCACGCGCATACCGCACACACGCATACATTACACACGCATTCACCCGTGTATTTACAACAGCCATTTGTTCAATTTGATATGGTACAAGCTACGATCTCTCTCGTCGGCACCTTCGCGAAGGCACGCGTGTAGAGGCGTAATATAACAAGCGCGATAGATTCCGCGCGCTCACAACACATTTCGCGCGCGGCTACGTGCGCGTTGTGCGCGCACGATCACATAGCAGCCGCACGCTCTCTCTTACGTACGATCAATCTCTCGGATTCCCCGAGGAATCCGGCGCTGGTCGGGCTAGAGGGGCTTCGAAACGCTGTTGTCGCTGTTCAGGTTTTTGGGTGCGACGCACGCGACTTTTTTTTCTTGTTCCCTTCCCTACACAAAGTAACGCTTAATATTATGGAAAAAAAAACTTTCACACAGAAAACTTTCTTAATCGGGTGTAACATTGTTCGCGGGTCTTCTTTGCTGTCGCATCAAGTTTCTCAGACACAGTTTGAATAAATTACTTGCCCACGAACTTCACCAATACGTGTTTCTCCGATATCGAAAAATCCAAATTTAATAATTCCAAACAAAAATCAATTTTTTTTAAATTTTTTTAAAACAAAGTTTGTAAGTATTGTTTTCATAAAAACTTTCGAACTTTCCGAAAGAACCTCTCTCTCTCTCTCTCTCTCTCTCTCTCTCTCTCTCTCTGTCATCACACAGGCTTCACGAATCTCGAGAACATTCGTTCGTCTGTCTCTTTCGCCCCTTCTCTTCGCTCGATCTCTCGCGCATCCTTCAGGTGTCATCTCGTTGTGATTGCGTAACATATACAACCGCCTCAAGCTTTTGATCTCCCGCTCGGGCTTCTTTCAAGAGACGGAGCCAGACTCTTGCCCATCTGGCGTGGATACGAACGCAGAGCAAAACTCTTCGACCCGTGCACGACAATCTCTTACGAGGCTTCATGCACCTGAAACCGTCGAATGCGCGCCTGCACCGACTCGCACTGCACCTCGCTGTATCTGGTGTATCTGCCGGCGCGAACGGGCTCCCTGATGACCACCAAATTGCCGCCCCGCTCGCGCAGCGCTTCGAGACTAGTCTTGCTGCCGCGCATAGCCGTCGAGGGTGTCGGAATCTTGGCGATTTTGGTCCCGGCGGACGAAGTCTCCGAGATGAAACGGCTGATCGCTTTGCTGACGACGCCGTTACATTCGCGCGGCCACGCTCGGGCGGTGCGGTGATGATTGTGCCTCTGTTCCCACCTGTCGGCGTTCGCGTCCGCGGCGGTGAACGGAAAGCTCGCTCGGCCCTGGCTCTTGCCGTAAAGAATGAAGTCCAGAGAGTCGTCCGAGTAGATGCTGCTGCGATCGCTCGAGCTGTCGGTCGAGATCTCGGAAACGGTGTCGCTGCCGCAATCGCTGCTGCATTGCTGCTCCGCCTCGCCGAGAATGAACACGGGCGTGCACTTGAACACCTCGCCGCTGGCGGGCATCGTGTGCGTGGCGATGGCGCGATGTTGCTGAACACCGCCGTTGTTACCGTTGGCTCCCGTCGTAGACGAAGAATTCGACGCCGAGTCGAGAAGAACGATCTCTTGTAGAATCGTACCCGAGAACTTTCGCGCCAGCGAGTCCATGTTCTTCTTGAAGGTGTCTCTGCGGTCCGGATTCAGACCGAGTCTGACGGGCGTGGACGACAACTTCGACGCCGTGTGCAAATTCTCCGTGTGCGACGAGACGGCGCGCACATTCGTCGGCTTGGACGGTTCCAGGCTGTGGCTCAAACCGGGGGTGGACAATCGTTGCTGCTTCTCGTTGACGTTTTCGGTTTTTGATGCGGAGGACGACGATGGTGCGGCATGAGCGTTTACGCACGACGACGCGGAATCGTTCTCTTCCCGTCTCTTCGCGTCGACGTTCAATCCGGACGAGGTCGTCAACGGATCCACCGTCGAACTGTCGTCCGACGTGGAGCACGTGGTCGATGACAAAGGCGCCGACGGCTGCTCGAACATGTTGAACCAGGCATGCTGGAGGCACTCGGTCACCGTCAGGCGTTCGCTGCGAACAGACAACAAATTGCTTTCTAGGAGACACCGTCGAAATGATTTTCTAATCAACGTAAATATATAAAATTTGCAATCGGGTTCAGCGCTTTCGATAAACGCGCCGAGGAGAAGATATAAGAACCGGTCACATGCCTCTGCTACTTTTGTACGACGCTCTTGAACAAATATATGTCCCAACAACTCGTCTCGTTCCGCGAACGACTCGCTCTCGTCGTCCTCGTTAACTCGAGGAGCATGAGAGTCAAAGGGTTAAGAGACCCGTCGCATATAAACAGCCGCGGCGAGGCATTATCGGCGGTGGCCATCGTCGTCCTCGTGGCGGTCCCACCGCTAACGTTTTCACATAGTCGTTTCGTGCCGTTGCTGCTGCGTGAAACGTGCCTGACGTGTATCGCTCGACTTCCGGCACACGGAACGACGACGGGATGTCTTCAATAACGGAACGACCTGATTGCGCAACGCGCGTACAACCGCCGTTGGAATGTCAAGGAGCTACGAAAACGTTTTCAAACGGCGCGCGGACCATTCTCTAAAACTCCGGCACCGGAAAAAAAAAAAAAAAAAGAGCGCGTTTCCTAAAAATATACAGTTAACTCGTCACGTGGTCTATCATTGGCCGCACGTAGAGCGACTGATGACGCGACTCCGCGATTGCGTGAAAAAGCTGACGGAAAAACCAACTGTAAAAAATCTAACGCGGCAGTTGTCGTGATAAGAGAGCGGCATTTTGCGCGGATCGCGCTTGTTACGCTAATCGCCGCGCTGTCAACGTAAACGCCGGTCATCAATTTCGCGATTGTTTGCACACAAGTTCGAACGAGTGTAGTACGTGAGTAAACGCGATAATGACGCGAGCGACGTGACACGCGTGTCACACTATGTGAGATGTGATTTTTCGTCCTTCGCGCGCACTCCCTCGACGATTCCCTAAGTCGGCAATTCGATAGGTCGGCGAACAAATCCATCGTTCTCGAACGAACACTCGCGATAAGCCATATGTCCGAGTTTCGCGCGATAAGCCGCGCGAGGGAAAGGAAGAATGCAAACATTCCCGGATAGCGACTTCCTCTCAGCTGTCCTCGCGCGCGATAAGAAAACACACGACACTTTTTCCAACGGAACTCGCTCTTCCTCGACGTACGCACAGGCTCGTCGCGACGAGGAAAGTGGCGACGCGGCGCCGAGTTTTTGCGCGAATTCAATAGCGGAGTTTGAAGTCGCTGCTCTAGCGAGCGAGCTATTTATATAAAACGCGTCTCAAGCAAAATCGCGCAGCGTAATTCGCAATTAAATCGCGAAACACGAGTGTTTCCAAAAAAACCCTTGAAATTATCAAACGCAATAAATTCAACGATTTATTTTCCAAGAGTTCGCGCACGAAACTCGTATGAAGCGAGTGTAAAATTTATTTTATACAATTAAAAAAACTTGCTTGTCACTCGTAATTGCGACGGTTTTTGCTTTTGCGCTCGAGCGTCTTGTTATAATCGAACGCGCGAAAGCCGGACGTTAACGGAACGCGATGAAAGTTAAAACCCGCGAGGCTATAGAGCGACGTGCGCGCGCGACGTTCGCCGCTTCAGGAATCTGTATCAACAAAAGATCGATAGATAAATTCACCGGCAAGAATCCACCTTCCGGCGACAATCTCGCGGGGAGAACGCAAAGCAAAACCGTCGCGAAAATTCCCGTAAGAAGCGAACGCGCGTGTTGGCTTTCTCTTCGCGCGCGCGATTAGATCTCGAAGCTGTCGGGACGATATGTGACCCACTAATTCCAAATCGCGCGCGTCTGTGATATCGAACGTGATTTCTACGTTCCCCGTTGTGCGTCGTGTTCCGGTGTATGTCGTCATCCTCCCGATGTGATTACATCGTGGAATGTCGCCACGACTGTGTGCGCGCAACGATACGTCTACGTGACGCGATTGTTTTCGTTCTGCGAAGTCAAGTTCTCTAAACATGCAACTAACATAATGTAATCGACGCGAACGCGTAGTAGTATCTCTCGACTTTCAAAGCTATACAAGCGCCGGGTCTTCCCGGTAAAGATCTCACGTTCCGCGAAGGAATTGTTTTCACCGGTCCGGGAATTGGACTCTCTCTCTCTCTCTCTCTCTCTCTTCGATGGCGATGTAATTGCCGATATTCGCGTTACGGACGCGGCAGAAATTAACAAACGTGGGTGCGTCGCGAAGACACCGACGTAGTTCGCGATCGCGTTGGAATAACGAATGGAAATCTTTCCGTCGAATCAAGTGGGGCTCATGAAGATAAATGGCGACGTAGTGGCCATCCGCGATGATCAATGAGATCTCGCAATCGCGTCGTCGTCGTCGTCGTCGTCGTCGACGCGCGTTATTACACACGTTGCCGTTCAATTCGAATTTAAAGCGAATCTCGAGCTTTAACTCTCCGTTTAACTCAATTTTCGCATCACATTTATTTAGAGAAAGGGAATCGGGGAGGTTTTTGTTTTTCAGTAGCGAACACGCGCGCTGATTTCTGGGTGCGAATTAATTTGTGCGAAATCAATTACAGCAATACTTACTTCGGATCCTTCACCATGAGCTTGCGCATGAGATCGCGCGCCTCCTCGGAAACGTCCTCGAAGAGATCGTCCGGAAAGTCCAGACGACATCTACTGATGTTGCAGAACGTCTCCTGCTTGGTGTCGCCGCCGAACGGGGAGCATCCCGTTAACAGTACGTAGAGCAGCACGCCGACGGACCACATGTCGGTCGCCAGGCTGATCGGCTCGTAATTCAGTACCTCCGGAGCTGGAACACACACGCACAGCGAGACGTGCGAGTTATATGAGAAGGAGAAGGTCGCCCACGTGGTGGGTATTATAAAACCTTATACCGCGCGCCGTACGACGCCGGGGTGAGTCGCGGTAATTAAATCCGAGAAAAATAACGACGCGCTTCTCTCTTCTCTCCCGGCCCGTTTCTATATCCCATTAACGTTAACGCTATTACGCCGCCGCTTAATGGAACCGCGCGCGCGTATTCTTCAACGGTGTAATAATAATCGTAACCGTGGACACACACACATGTGTGTACGTATTAAAGTTCTGCACACGCGCGTAATCGTCGCGATATACAACGCGCAAAGAACCGGCCGGCCGCGCGCTCAGTTTGTTGCGTAATGACTCGCGCGCGCGCGCGCGCACTCGCGAGCTCCGAAGTGTAGCTCACTGAGTTCTCCCAATGAGCTGCTTCTTCGTATCGGGCTCGTCTCGAAACTCGCGCCAGTTTTTCCGAGACCGCTTCGTCCGGCTAATCGTCGCCGAGTAGCAGTAGACGATTCTCGTTTTATCCCCGCGAACGGTCTCGCTAATTTCTGCCGCGCGGCGATCTCGCGTTGACGCTAATTGAACGATTAAAATTGACGAGCGAGGAAATATAATGACGCAGGTTTTTTCGTCGAATTAAGGTCAATGTTCTCTTTTTTTCTGGTTTTTTTTTATTTTTTTTGCTTTCAACATTACGACTACGTGCAATCATCTCTCGCTGTTAATATTCTTCAGCGCTTCTTGAAAGAAAAAAAAACGACTTGTCTTCTTCTTCAGAACTGATTTCAAACCTCGCGGGATATCTCGAGAAGACTCTCTCTTCGGTTTCCCCACGGAAAAGGATTCTCATGACCCGCTGTTACCTAACACCTCCGTCCACTCGCGGCACGGACCGTTAGACACGGCGGAGTGCGATGTAATTGCGACGTTGATTGCCGCCGCGAGAATCATAAAAGGGTTTCTGACCGATCTCGCGCGACCCGCAAGACACTCCCGAGCTCAGCTCGGCCGGAGTGGCTTGTTCTGTTCCGATTATGCAACGCGCTTGTTTCCCTAATGGAACACAATCGTGGCTGGTTTCGTACGGCGGCATGAACCCGGGTCGAAAACGCGGCTCGTAGACAAGATCCGTCTCTCCCCGTCGCGTACGATCGCTCGAACTTCCTCGGAGGTCGAACAAACCGCGCACTTATTTGTCGCAACCGTATAAGGGCGTGAGAAAAAAAAAAAAAAAAAAAACGGGCACTCTATCAGGGTTGTGTGACTGTTATTCTCAATGACGCCGTGGAGGTGTTAGAGGAAAAACGTTCGCGCAGGTGTCGGTTGCCGTTTTCGCGCGAACGTCGTCGTATGTGTTAGCGCGCGGTACATAGAGATTAGCGCGAAAATCCTTCTGCCTTAGTCACGTTTCACGGTGACAAATGACACACGTTCGGAAATCGCGTAAAATACGTTCCGTTCGCAGAAGGATGAGAGCGGCGAAAAAAAGAACTCACCGACATAATCGGGCGTGCCCAGGATCTCTCGTATGTCCGTGCCGTGGCTGATGTATCGCGATATGCCGAAGTCGCATAGCTTCACGTCGCAGTCGGGAAATTCTCCAGTGAGCACCAAATTTTGCGGCTGTAACACAGATCGGGAAAGAAAAATTAATTCGATGATACACACACACACACACACACACACACATACACACAATTCGCCGTAATTATTGTATACGAGACGAACGGTCGTGAGTAAAAATAAATAAAACGTTTGCAACAGTGTCTTTTAACTTGCCGTGAAAATGCAAACACACACGGGTCCTCTCCCAATTGCGAATTAATTATTATAATTTGAAAACTTTCTTGATACGGGAAGTAGACGAAACGCGATGCGCGTTTCGCAGAAACGCACGCGAGAGAAACGAACGCGAGCGAGCGCGTTCCCCGTCTCGCATTTGATCTTCCATTAAGAGAAAGAGTGAGATACAAATGTGTCAATTTTCTGGCTGCGAAATAACACGGAGAAAGTGTAATGTTTCTTTTCAGATGTGGAAGAGACGCTCGCATGACACTCGCACGCGATGTGCGTTCTCCCTCGGCGCAAACAAAACGCCCCGTTTTCGTGGCCCCGGCCAATTATCGCGCATGACACGCAACGTCCGAAAAAAATATTTTTTTTCTCCTACCCGAGCGCTCTGGAATTTCGGCGCCGCCGTCGCGATGCAAATATAGCAAGCTGAAATATATATATATATGCATACATACGTATATTTATACACACGTAGTTTGTAATTGCGGTGCCCGGCTTTTGCGGCGTTCTGGCGCGCAATCCGCCGATTCGCGATTTGCGGTTTAATTTTAGCTCGTGGTTCAAGAGCTCTCTCTCTCGAGAGAGAGAATTTCACTTTGGCGGAATTTTAATTTTCAAACATGTTTGTGTAAAATTACGGGGAGGGGGAGGATGTAATCTTCGATGCGAATTTCCAAAATGCGTAATAACTTCCGCGATAGAGACGTTTTTCATCACGCGAGGCAGTTGATTAATTGTCGGCACCAGGTCGAGGCGGAGAAAGGAAAACGCGCACGCGAGGCTAACGCGGAATTTTTCGACGATCAGGTGGAAAGGCAAAAGGTGCGCGCATTACAATACCATGAGAGCGCGCGTAGGCGTCTTCTCTCTCTATCTCTCTCTCTTTCTCTCTTTTTGCACGTCCGTGGTCTATGTAACTTGCGAGGCAAGGTAATGCCGATGCAAAACGATTCCGGCGATAAGAAAGGTCGTCGCGCGGCCTAGGCGAGACTCACCAACACCGCGCGATGCCCACATGTCGGCGTTTTCGCCTCCTCTCCCGCGTCCCGGTTCTTTTCCCGGAAAACAATCGAACAATGCCCGAAGAGGCCAACGCGAAGAAACTTTACGGAGGAACGACGGCGCGTCGGGTCGCAGTCTAGGAACGCAGAGAAATAAAAGGCGAGAGGAAGCCTCGCCGATCCATTGTCAACACGCGCTTCGCGCGGCTATGGTTTACGATCACCTCGGGAGATTTGATCGGGAGAGAGAGAATCGCGTCGTCCTCGGCGAGGTCGCGGCGTTACTTCCGTAAGGATGTCATTATCGAGACGCTTTATTCACACAAGCGTGTACAAGCGCGGCTTGTACAAACAACGCGAATCACCTCGCAAAAGCGAAGGAAACTTGTTGTTGAACACTTTTAATCGAACGTCCAAAGGGAGGACCGACTCTCCTCGTTTCGTATTTGCGCGCAGATGTTCGCGAAGGGTTCCAAAAAAAAAAAACTCTGATGAAAAGAATGCGGCGCATAATTGCATTCATGAAAGCGACAAAGGTCTTTGCGCGCCAGCTCCGCTCGTAAAAATGATGTTCACTCTATTAGAAGGGGGATACGAATTACAGACCTATTCAACCTTCGTTCGCACTGCCCTTCTTGGTAATATTGTATAATTAGTATTTATAGCTTGCAGCTTGTGCAGAATAATTGGGAACGTTATTGCGCGACACGGGTGTGTGTGCGCGCGCGATAATACAAAATACTTTATAACGCATAAACGTTTCACAAACGTTGATTGTTATTGTTACAAATGCGACGCGTTTTATGCGTATTTATAGTTTTTAATGTGTAATTAAAATTGTCGCGAGATTATAAAACACTCCGATTACATAAATTATTACACGTTTCCTCGCGAGTAAAGTGATGAAGAACGAGAGGAGCTCGTAATTGATATTAACATAATTTTCTGTAACAAAGCGCGCGCATTACGAGGACGGCAACACGTCAAGAGCCGACGTAGATTGCGCGCGCACATACACACGAAGGGTACACACCAAAGGGGGATCTCTCACGACGCGGTAATGAAGATTGAAGACTTGACGCTAAATTCAAATAAGGTCATTATCCTTATCGCAGGTGATGCGGAATTTGCATGATCGATGACACCATTCTTTACGGTCGAGCGCAAGAAATTGCGATTCGCGCTGCCCGCGCCGTTTCTCCCCTCCCCTCCCCTCTCCTCTTCCTCTCCTCCTCCTCCACGAAACATGAAGTTGCTAAATTTAAATAACGTTGCGATGCAGAATTTTCGCGCATGATCGATGACACGGAGCCTTCGGCGAACGGAGTGGAAGGCGGAGATTGCGAGAGAGATGCGCGATGCATACAAAATGCATTGCGGCCGGGGACAATTTTCGTGGTAATCGATCGGCTCACCCACGCCCAATCGCCGGAGAACTGACCGACGACGACGACGACGACGACGATACACGTTCGAGAAACACGACCGCGCGAGAGCTGACGTACGAGACCCCGTAATGGTTAATTATGGAAATGTCTTTGTTCCTTATTAGGACGACTTCCTGGAGCGCGGGGTTCCCAAATTGGTTCCTACGCAGTTCCTACGCGCTGAAAGGAAACGCCACGCCGAGGATCTTGATTAGATCTGATTTTCCGGATTCCGTATTACAACTCGGCGTTTCAATTATCCGGAAGCCGCTCGGGCAAAATCTCTCTCTGGCGTAACGTATGTGCGAGAGATACAATTGCGCACAATTAGACAGACCGGAGTTGCAATGAGAATCTGCAACACAATATCCTTTCTCCGTCGTAAATATTTTGAGAATTGATAGGAACAGATGCGCGGCAATGACAATGCGCGCATTGTTTTAACAAGTTTTAATTGTATTCTTTGAGAAATTCTTGACTTTTGGTGGTAAGTAGAACGAGAATAAAAGAAATATAAAAATAGATCACAATTCGGGATCACGAAAGACCTTCCAAAAAAAAAAAAAAAAAAAAAAAAAAACACATATATTTAAATTATTGCAAGCTACACCTTTCACTTTAAAAAGAATAAAAAAAAAAACTCTTTTCATACAAGTGCGTGTGTAAAAAAAAAAAAAAAAAAAAAAAAAAAAAAAATCACATTTGAGAAAGCTCAATTTGGTATCCAGCCGCCGAGGTGAATCATCGCCGAAATTTCGAAAGAAGAAACGTGACGCGAAGAAAACGATCCGCGACGTCACGCGGAGTCGCTTTTGAATCGCGTTATAATCGTCTTGTACACGCCGAGATCAGCTCATGACGAAACCCGGTCACGTTTGACTCGTAACTCGGTTTAACGAAACGTAACACACAAACAGACGAATCCCCGACCGAGTCGCCTTTTGTTCCCTCTTGCCAACGCAACGACGACGTTTCTCTCTCGATAAATCTTCGCTCCGAATTTCGATAAAAATCAAAACCGCGTTTCAAATTCAAATGCGAAGTACCTATTTCAACAAAAAGTATATTTTTCGTTAAATGTATATAAAAAATATTCCAGGAGGTTCATTTTAATTAAAATTAACATTTTCTTTTTTACCGTGTACTAACTGGACGACTCGGAGAATTTTTACAAACACGTGCTTTATTCGCAAATTTATAGAAAAAACTCGTACGGGTATTAAAAAAAAATAAAAAAAATCGGAGGTCGAACGCTTCGATTCCCGATTTAAATCTACCGCTTGAACTTCGAAGTCAACAACAATAACGCGTTGCCATCCATTCTTCCGTCAAACAGTAGCTCCTCTCGTCGATCGATCAAACTGTCGTTTCTTGCCACTGGGTGTCGACACGAAATACATTCCGCAACAATATACACATATACAATACAATCTCGATGCAACGCGGTTGTGTGTGAGTTGCACCGGTGTGCAATTTTTTTTTTTTTTTTTTTGAGGAGGAAACACGTGACCGTTTCGACGTTCATTACACACTCGATGCCAAGTGCCGCCGCGCCACTTAATTCAACGTGCTTAATAAACGACGACGATTCGACAGGGCGCGCATTCGTCACGTAATCGAGGTAATTAATCGTGTCGCGCGAGCGCATGTCGCCGGTTTGCTTTTTTTTTTCCGCCTCTCGCGAACGAGTCGATGCGACTCATTTTTTCGTATCGCGTCTTCTCTTCCCCTTGTGCACGTATCCTTCAAAACTCACCTCGTTCTTAATTAACAACGCGAGAGATACGGGCGGTGGAATCACTCCAGCGTCTATATTTATAACCTTTTTTGTTATTTTCTCTTTGATCGGCTCGAAGTAAAGTACGTACATACTTAAAAAAAAAAAAATATATATATATATATATATATAAATAAAATAACAATTTTATGTGTCAATCAACATGCGAAATGTAAAAACATATTGGTACGTTTTGTAAACTTGTGTGTGATGAGTTCGGTGTTCTATGGTGTTTGCTATTATAAGCACGCTGAGATCATTCTACTAGTTTTTAACATAATTTATTTTTGTTAAAGATTCAAACGAATGGATCGTCTGTTTTTTTTTTGTTTTTTTTATGTTCAATAAATCTCACATCTTGTGTTTCCGCTCAAATGTTTTAAAAACGTATTGTTGCATCGCCACATGTAGGGATTCAAGCAGCTCGTCGCTCGACCATTATCATTTACTTTCGAGCGTGACCGAATCATATCGATCGCCGTTTTTTTTTTCGCCCGCGCGACTGACACACTTCCTGCAACATGCCGTCTATTTTCACCGTTCTTGCGCAATCGTTCGCGCGAATCGTTTGTGGACACAAGGCGCAACACAGTATCGCGGCACAGGTATTACGACTCGACGGTA